ATAATTATTATCTCAAATTTTTAATTAAAAATAAAAATAATAATTATTTTAAAATAAAATAAGTAACCTAAATTATATTAGATACTAAAAAATAATTTATAATACCAACGCTCCCCTCTATTTAATAACTCAAATTGTATAATTTAAAATATTTTTTTTTTATAAAATAAAATGCAATGAAAGGAGAGCCCTATCATGAGGAGTTGTTAGTGAAATGTCAGCACTTTTATTAACAGAAGTTAACATAGAACAAGTTGGCCTTTTCACTAAAGTTAAGGGATTAATATGAAATTTTATTATGGAGATGTGACAATGACTATTTTTGCAAAGTATAAGGATATTTGATGATATTAAGCCACTTAGAATTTGCAAATTGCAATGGAATTTGTACTTTATAAAATTTTGAATCGATAGATGTTTTATTATAGGTTAAATATCCTTTTTGGTCCCTTTGCTATAAGAAAAAGCTTCTTTTTGGTCCTTGTACCGAAAAAATCTCTTTTTTGATCTCTAAATTTTAAAATCCGGCCCCTTTTTAGTCCCTCCGTCAAATTTTACTTGCGTGGCACGTTAACTTAACTGGAACAGCTGACGTGGGTATGCCAACATGTAAAAAATGCTTACGTAGACTTTTGACACCTGTCACGTCACTCGCCACGTCACTCTCCCCTCCAATTTTTTTCATTTTTGCGCGTGAGAGAGTGACGTGGCGAGTGACATGGCAAGTGACGTGGCAGGTGTCAGAAATCCACGTAAGCATTTATTACATGTTGGCATACCACATCAGCTGTTCTAATTAAGTTAACGTGCCACGCGAGCAAAATTTGACGGAGGGACTAAAAAGGGGTCGGATTTTAAAATTTAGAGATCAAAAAAGGGATTTTTTCGGTATAGAGACCAAAAAGGAGCTTTTTCTTATAGTAGAGGGACCAAAAAGAGTATTTAACCTTTATATATTGACATAATTTTAATTTTCACACACCAGCCCTAATACTATTCACCTTAGATTAGTGGGATTACCTATATGAATTATTGTTTCGAGTCTCTTCCTTTTTTCGAATCCCCATTTCCTTTTTCTCAAAAAATGTAATTCTATTAAAAAGAAATAATGACATAATTTTGTACAAATATCAACTTTTATTATTATTATTATTATTATTTTACAATGTAAAATGTTTTAAACCATGTAATTGTAATCATTGAATGAAAATAAATTCTTTGATATTAAAAGTTTTTTTTACTTAATAACTTTTATTTTACAATTTAATACAATTTATATTATAAAATAAAAAACTTATTATTATTATTATTATTAGAATAACAACGTATTCAGTATTTGCCCTAATGATCGTAAATCACCTAACCATGAACATTGGATTCTGCTTTGAAAAATGGTGAAAGAGACTCAACAAAATTGTTTAAACTAAGCTATAATTTAAGAAAAAAAAAAACAAAAATTGGCCTAATTAAAAAATAAAAAAAAAAAAAAAAAACAAAGAATTAATAACCTTTTTTTTTATTTGAATAGGGTAATTTGAGAGAGATGCAACTCACGAGAAGTGATTTTCACTTAACAAAAAAATCTTGATCATTAAGCGGAAGCATAGGGATCAAATATCTATTATCTAAGTTCAAAGTATTTGACTTTTCATCAACTTTAGTCACAAATGCAGTATTTCGTAAGTGTAGGCTTCTTAATATAGGAAAAAATTTGTTTATTAATAATTATAAAATGTAAAATATACTTACAATTATTGCAAAATTAAAAGAGAAAATCAAAAGAGAAAATAATGAGAATAAAAAAGATAAAGAAAAAAAGAAACAAATATAGTTATAATATTATATAATATTAGTTACAATTGATATGATATTATATCATCAAAATATAATTTATTATTATATAATTAATTATTTTTACTTAGGAATCTATTATAATATTATATGTATTTATTTTTTTAATGACATATCATATGTAATTAATAATATATTATAATTATAAATTTATAATTTTATATAATATTATAATTATAATATTATTGAACAAAAAAAAGCAAAGGTGAAGAAGTTTGAGGACAGGGTTTTTATCCAGAAGTTCAAATGAAAGAAATGAAAGAAGGGATTTTTTATTCTATGCACTTACGAGGGAGTAATACATTTTTTTATAATTAATTTATGTAAAAATAATAAAATTTAATTTAAATTTAATTAAGTAATTAAAATTATTTATATAATAATAATAAAAAAAAAAAAAATAATTATTATTATTTTATATAAATTAATTATAAAAAATATATTTATTATATTTTAATATATATTCGTAAAATATAATTTAGACAAACTCATGAAGGAATTCGCATGTTGTGGGTAGGTGACATACATTACCAAAATAAAGGTGAAATACACGTGCTAACACGTGGTGAAATTTGGAAGAGTTACGGTTGATTTTGTCCAAGGGACAGTGGGTTTGAAAAGAAAAATAAAAAGGGTGGAAAAAAACGGAATCACGGCCCTTATTTTCTTGAAAACATTTTGGGCCCAGTGTAGGGCCTGTGTCCAATCCTGGGCCTTCCTTGGTCCGCTCCCATCTCCAATAGGACCAATACCGCACCCGTGAAGCATTTTCTTCTTGGTGGAGCAGCTGTCAAACATTTTAAAAGGGTGAATTGCACCTATCCCTCGTGGTTTGGCTGAGTGCACTCGATCCCCCAAATCACCAAAATGTGCACTTCTAACTCCATATGGTTTGAAATTGTCCACTTAACCCCCAAATCATGAAAGTATGCTATTAACCTCTAAATGATCTTGACATTTCATCTTCAATATTAATAAACTTGGGGGGTCAAGTGCACATTTTACAAACCACAAGGGAGTTATGAACATATTCCCTTAAATTGGAGGTTAGGTGCACGTTTTTAAACCACAAAACGGTTGTGGATAAGGGTGTTCATATCTGATCCAATCCGATTGATCCTACCTAAATTGATCCAATCTAATAAAAAATCAATCCAAACCAATATAAAATTGGGTTGGTTTAAATTATAAAATTTTAAAACGATATAATTAATTTGGTTTGTGGTTTTATCTTTAAACCGCCCGAACTGTCTGATTACAAAATAAAATCTGATTACAAGATAACCTGATTAAATAATATAATATAATTTTTTGTAGTATTTTAAATTTTTTTTATTATTTTACAAGATAATAACTTCATTAATTTAATTAAAAAATAAAAATAAAACATCTTCATATTCTTTAAGTTATTTTTCCATTTCTCATGCACCCTAACCCTAATTCTAAATTTCTAATTCATCTGTAATTCTGTCCCCTTAAATTTGGTTTGCGCCTTTACTTTTAGAATCCTGAATTTCTAATTTGTTCTTAAAATAATATTATGATTCTCCTAACTAAGTTTTGAAAAAGTATTATTCTAAAAATCTTAAAACAATATAATAAATCTAGTCTTGATATTCTACTATTATTGGATATTTGGTTTAGAAGTTTTAAATTTTGATTATGAATGCTTCTAATCAATTTTGGTGATATTTATGTTAAATTTTATTTACTTTTAACAAGATTTAGAAAATATGATTAAATTATTAGTGCATTAAGAAAAAAAACTAATTTTAACATTTAAGATTATTTACTCTGTACTAGAAACTTGAAATCATCTTTTATTGTCCTTGGTGCCTCTAGTGATGTAACCAAGAAGAATTTTTAGAGCTTTTCAATTTTTATAAATGTAAAGGAGTATAAAAACTTATTTATAATTTATACCTTTTATTATGTTTTTACTAATTTGGATGTTAATGTATTTTATAATTGTGTTTTTTATTTAATGTTAAAATATTTTTACATTATTTCATATATTTAATAATGATAAAAACCGATCAATCCGACTGAACCATACTAATCCGATTTAAGTTGGATTAGTTTAAAAATTTTATTAACCGATTAAATTGGATTGATTTAAAAAATATTAAAATTCGAATCAAATCACACCGCAAACATCCCTAGTTGTGGATTTTTTTTTTTTTTTGTATTATAGGGTGTTAAGTGCACTTACCCCAAACCACATGGGTTTAAGTGCAATTTTCCCTTCTAAAAGTAAAGTAAGCTTTTTAATTGAGAAAACTTTACATACCAAATTGGAGTTTATTTGGTTTAATTAGCTGTTTCAAGCAATATGTAATTGATAAATAATGCTTAAATAATAAAAAATAACAAATATTAACTAAAATATATTTATTATCAATTATTTGTTATTTTTAAATAGATAAATCAGACACCAATTATAGATTTACCATCTTACATATATACCTTAATTGCTCATAGAATTGGGGTCTGGATCTGAGCTAGGACCGGCCAGCCAAACTAAATTTGCTAGTTGTAATCAGTTGTCTAGTTCTTGAGAAAGCTGATCTAGACGTGTCTTGGTTCTCTTCTAAAAGACAAAATATTTGCATCTTCTTGGTAACTAAGTGATTGACTAAGTTGTGGCTGTCAGTGTCAAGGGGTTAAACGTGTCCTGGCTGCGAATGGTCTTTTATCAACTTCTTCAATTTATTATTTCATCCGGCCTTTGCTTCATGATTTAGTTTATCTCACAAATGCCAATATATTTGGTAAAGTAGTTAAAAAATTGGAAGCTTACTCTGACAATTTTACAATTTTGATCGAGTTGTAAGTTTGACTCTTGTTAACATAGGGTTTTTTAATTCTGAATTGCCATCTTCTCAATCAAAACATTCATGAATTTGACTACTAATGAGAAATCACTAACAATTTCCACAGCCGATATTGCCAACTTGCAAATAAAATATTTTTTCCTAGTAAATATAATAATAAATTGTTCGCATAAAAAATAATAGAGTGTCATATTTTTAACTTTGTACATAATTTTAAAGATTACTTTTATATGACATATGAATGATAATTAAAAAAATTATCAAATGATATCATTTAACAAAAACAACATATATATATATAAAGTTAAAATTTACTTAGGCACAACGTTTATATACATAATACATCATTTATGTAAATTTTTTTTATTTTTGTCTTTACTATAAATAGTTGGTATTTATTTATTTATTATTTTTTAAAAAAGATTGTTATTTTTATTTAAAAATTTATAATAAAACTTAACTATTTATCTTATAGTAAATAGTGAAGAAATAAATAATTAAGATTTTATATAAATGATATATATAAAAATTGTGTGTAATTAGATATTTTAACTAAAAAAAATCAAATTATCTTAAACATACTATTGGCCCAAAAAAAAAACAAACTTTCATACCATATAAATATTATTTAAAGTTGAAGTGTGATAAGTAAATTGGTCAAGAGGAAGTGATTACATATGTTGCCTAACTTATGCTTTTCATGTTTTTATTAGTCATGTCATTCATCATCATTAGATCTGAATCTCCATCGCAGACAAAATTAAACCTTCAATTAGATTGGGTTCAAACTTGATAAAGGGAAATTTACACAATTTGAAATTAGTAACATTGGATCTGTCATACTTTTCAGATGCAAATCTATTTTTTTATTCCAAGGCCCAAAAAGAAGATACCTTTTTTATTCCTTGATGAATTTCTTCCTTGTTTCCCCGATTCGGTTCGTGTATGTTTCCTATTACAAATACAAAAAGAATATTTAAGAGAGGTTGAATGTCTATTTTGATTACTTAATTTTAAGGTCTCATATAGGTTTTGTCCATTAATCTTTTTTATGTATTTTTTTGTCCTTCAACTTTAAAAATATAATTTTTTATTCTTTTCATCAGTTTATTTGTTAAGTTTGTTCAAATATGTATATTTTTAATCCTTTAGCTTATAATATATGCATATTTTTTGTTTCCCAATTTAAAATTTTAGAGATTAAAAGTATACATATGTAAATAGACTTAACAAACTAATTGATAAAATGACTAAAAAAAATACATTTTTTTTATAATCGAGAGACTAAAAAAACGTATAAAAAAGTTGAGGGATGAAAAATGTGTAAAACCATAAAATTAAGGGCCCAAAATTAGCATTTAACCTCTAAGAGAGAAAGACTATTAATCTTGTAGCATGCATAGATTAAGTGCACTTTGCTCCCTACAGTTCTTAAAAGTTACAACTAACTCCCAATGGTTCCTTCCTTTTGGTTTTAAAGTGGTACATTCTTATCTCTTTGGCCATGTTTGGTGTATATAGGAGTTAACTACTTAACATTCTAAGAGTCTCATTACTATTAGAAAAATCATAAATTATTTTGAGTTGAAATTTAGTCCTTGAACTTTTATTTTCCAATTTGATCCATACTAATTAACATTATTAGTTGGATTGAACAAATTATGACTCTTTGCACTTGATATAGATGCGTGAATAAATACGCATCTATTGATTTGATATCATATAAATATTGTTCTTAGGGACGCACCTAAAACAGGTTGAGATCTAATTAAATCTCGACTTGGATTTGACAATATTTTGGTCAAGCAAACTGACCTCAATCCCTTTAGTGGTTAAAGTTCTTTCTTCATTCATCCCTAAACTTTTAGCTTTCATTACAAACTTGTCCCTTAACTTTTTTTGGTACTTTTTGGTCCTTAATCTTTAAATTTAATTATACCAAAATAGTCCCTCTATTAGCCGTTTGATGATATGACATGCTAACTTTAATAGAGATTTGGTACCAAAATGCTATCTCAACCTGTAAAATACTTCAAGGATGAATTGTTTTGCTACCAAATTAGAGAGCTGAGGGATAAAATGAATGCCAAAAGAGGTTGAGGGACAAATTTTACACAAAAGCAAAAAGCTAAGGGACCAAACAAAATACTACTTTAACCTTTACTATTGGGCTTAAGCCCCTATTAACATCCTATACATTTTTTCTTTTTGCAGTCAACACCCTAAATTAATTTTCATCTCGGTTAGCACCCTCCACTATTTAAAACTTGTGAAAAACCCAAAAATCAACAGTCAAAACCTCTATTTGCACTTTGATTTTGTGGTCAAACCCCCTATTTGTATCATGGTTTTGTTGGTAGTTTGGGGTTTTTTTATGGGATTTAAATTATAAAGTGTGTTGACTAAAATGAAAATTAGTTTACAGTATTGACTGCGAAAAAAAAATGTATAAGGTGCAAATAAGGTTACCCTTACTATTCCGTACTATTCTTTTTTTTTTTTTTTTTGAACGGTACTTAAAATATTTCCCTACTATTCCTAAAGTAAAAGGAGGGAAAATTGGCAGCCGAAAGTCACCAATGGTCTGGCACGTGGAAATTCGTAGACTGCTGTCTTCAGTTTTCCACAAGGAAGTTGCCCCTGAAAGCTCCTGCAAAAAATCAACATAAAACATATATATATGAGGTCAATATAATAACATAGACATCTCATACCTTTCCTCCTTCGATTTTTCAGACAAACCCTATCACACTCCATCATGTCCAACTTCGGCTTCCTCCCCACTAATATTCCTCGCAATCCGCCAAACCCCATCTTCAGTCCTGATCATGATGTTCATCAACAGTACTTTCAGCCATCTGATTACGATCTAATGCTCAGTACTGATGGATCAGAGGAAGATAACACCATTAGTTTCAACGCAAACCCTTCACAAGATATCACTGGGGCCGCTTCGAATATTCCAGTCTACCGCGCCAGCTCTAGCGAGCTGCCATGGAGCATATCAGATGTGCAAGAGTATATACTTTGCAAGCTGTCAATTAATTTCTTGTTCTGAATATAGAGATATATTATCTAATTCATACATATTTTTTATATTTTAACCATGCTTTTTATTTTTTATTTAATTTTTTTTAGAGGAGAAACTGGTATGGCAGAAGGAAAGAGCGAAGGGGGTAGTAGAATTGCTTTCCGGACCAAATCCGATCTTGAGATAATGGATGATGGGTTCAAATGGAGGAAGTATGGCAAGAAGAAGGTTAAGAATAGCCCTAATCCAAGGTATTATGACTTCAAATCATCAGCCAACTTAGATCCCCGTCTTCTTAATTAATTGGTATCAATCAGGTCTGGATCGATGCATTTCATGTTTACACAAGTAGACTTCACTAGTTCTCAAGAGATTATTTTTCCTCATTGATTCGATATATAATTGATATAAAATAATATTTTAATTATGATTTTTTTCCAGGGTTAGGATTCAAGGCAATGCTACGTACTATTGCTGCTGCTTATGCTTCTGTTATTACAATATTGCCTTAATTACTTGAAAGATATACTAATTATCAGACCATTATTTTTTACAACCTAGAACAGATAAAGAGATCAGGAAAATAATTAGTCATTTCTAATTGGTTTCACAAAGCTATATATATTACACTAAGAAATTGTATCTATACATTATACTCCTATGATTAATCCCATAATTCATTCATTTCTTATGTAATAGTTAAACATGGGCTAGTTGATTTTTTCCTTTTTTTTTTTGGTATTTATAGTCAAGAAGTCCCAAGACTAGCTTTCTCACACCTCAAAACTAATCTCTTTTCTTGGACAACCTTAAGGGTGCACTTGCCACAAAACACCATATCCTTGTTAATAATTAGGAATATAAGCTTTAAATTGAAGTGAAAAGTTATGTCCAACTACATTTGTATGAAAAAGGTTATTGCTGCCTAGCCAGCCAGTTGGTAGTAGTTGATCTAAATTGACTACAAGTTTTTTGATACATTGGTTAATAGATTATATGATGAGAAGGGATATTTATTCTTTTTCCCCAAATCCCCTCTTATCCTACTCAAGATTTTAACTTAAGATCTTTAATCTGGAGTTTCAAGTTCTTAATTTATTGAGCCATTCCCATAGGAGCTCCACGTCTTCTATAGTTATATGCCTAAAAGGTGTCTTAACTAGTAAACCAATCATTTATAAGGAAAAAAAAAACTAGTAAACCAGTACTTAAGAGCTTAAAACTCCATATTAGAGATTTTAAATTCAAACTATGAGACTATTGTTAATGATCTAAATTTTCTATACAACTATACTTCTAGAGTGTTTCAACTAGTAAGAGTTTAAGATTCCATGCAAGTTAGAGGTCACAAGTCCAAATTGTGACCATTCATTAATTACCCCATCCGGTTTATATAGCCCATTAATTAGATGTACCAGATCTCCCATAGTTTTATACTTATGTGCATGAGATTAATGGATATCAACTTGTACCGTAGAAAATTAAGCTGAAAAATATCTCAAAATTATATTGTTTTAACAAAACATTATAAGACAAGACAAAAACAACTTTATTCTTACTTTAAAAATTAGGATATTTTAGTTTTTTTTTTCTCAATATGACTTTATTAAAATAATGTAATTTTGAGATATTTTTCTGCCTAATTTTTTTATGATAAATGTTGATACTTGCTTTTTTTGTATATATATATATATGTATGTATGTATGTATAAGAATCTTTTATTATTTTCAATTTTTACATATAGTTTTCAAGAAAATTTAGTGTAATCTAAATTGTATAATTTAAACCATTGAAATGAGAGTGAGCCCCTTGATATGGAAGGTTGTCCCCTCATTTAATGTTTCTTGACTTGCAGTTCAATTGCAAAACATGATTCTCATATATTTTTTCATTCTTTGATGAAATGAGAGAAGAACAATAATTTGAAGTAAACAAAAAAATCAGGATCTTCTCACATTAAAAATGTTAAAATGTTTAATCGCAGCCACATAATAAGTAAATCATAGTGTAGGTCCCATCTAAGTCCCTTATATATATATATCACATGGTTAAAATTAGATATTAATAATTTTAATATCAAAATGTCTTAAGTTTTCTTTTTTTAGTTATTTATATGATTCTCTAATTATGATATTTTTATATATCCAAACCCCTTAACATGCATGCATGCATACATACATAAAAATATATATACGTACATACATACATATAAAAAAGATGTTTAGTACATTTGTACGAATGTGTTCCTTTTGCAAGTTGGGTATTTTCAGTTTTTATGATCTAGCTAGATATCAATTTGCTTGCTAGCTATTTGTTGAATATATAGACATTTTCAGTATATAATTTCATTTTAGCTGCTAATTCTGCGTATTACCTTGAAATAAAGCAGGAATTACTACAAGTGCTCAAGTGGTGGTTGCAATGTAAAGAAAAGAGTGGAAAGAGATAGAGAAGACTCAAGGTTTGTGATAACAACGTATGAAGGGGTACATAACCATCACAGCCCTTGTGTCATGTATTCCAATGGAATCCCAGCTCTGGACTTTCCAAGCCAATGGAATAGTTCACACCCTTTTAGCTCCCAATAGAGAAAACCCTAATGTCATGCACACTGTAAGCAAAAACTTGTCTTGAATCATATCTGACTGTCTAATCTTACAAACACATATATAAATGCTTATGACTGCTAGCTAGCTTTTCCAAGTAGATGTGTATGAAGCTGTATGACTGCTAGCTCTTTTCCAAATATATTAGTGTGCATATATATATATATATATATATATATTAGCTTATAGCTTTTCCAAATAGTAGTCTGTGAGTGCATATAAATATGTATTTAGTAGCTTAGATGTCAGTGACTCAGTAGACTGGTTTGGTATATATCAATGCATCAGTAGGAGAATCAATCAAACAAAGCAAGTCCTTGTATTCATTACTTATTCTGTTTTGAATGTGAGGCTGTGTTTTGTGTCTTCAGCTAGTTAGGTGTGGGATAGAATTTGTATACGCTTGCATAAAACTTTATTTTGTTGATAAAAATGGGCAAATCAACCCCTATACTCTTTGTTTAGTGATAAATCTGCCCCTTAACTAAAATCAATGGAAAATGACCCCTCAAACTCGTTAAACAGCCCTCAACTTACAGATTCTGTCAAAAAGGAACGGGCTGCTCCTTAGAGTGGGCTTCTTTGCTGAGCAGGATCCTGATGATGTGGCATGACATTGTTTAAATTGATTAATTTAAGTAATTTACTCTAATACCCGTAATTTTTTAGTAGGTTTTTTTAAGGTGTCCTAAAGATGCATTAATGGTTTTTTTTTTCTTTTTTCATTAATGGATATGAAAAAGATAAAATAAAAGTTGATTTCTACAATGATGTTATAATTTTAGTATATCATTAAATGAGTGAATATATATAACATCATAAATAAATTTTTAAATAAAAAATTACTTTTAATAATGAATCAAAATTACAAATTTACAATTCCCTGGAATGGTATAACTACATATTTTTGTTATTTTCCCATATAAGTAATAAAAAATGTACTTACGCCTGTACATGAGGGAAAAAACCTTCTTTTAACAGTAGTATCCATACCTAACTTTTTAAATTATCCCCTTTATTCAATTTTAATGAACTTAATTATTTTAATAACATAAAAATATAATAATTAATTAATAAAATTTTATATTTATTTGTAATTAATCATTATTTAAATAAATATTTTTATTTAATATATAATTTAATTATTTTTTAAAATAAATATAAAAATATTAAATAATATTTTTAAAAAAGCAACTAAATTTAAATATTACAAAATAAAACCTACATCTAATAAGGTTAAACGGAGAGTGTGCTAAAAATTTAATTAAATCAATAATTTTTTAATGTAATTGGGTCAGCAATTATGGTCAAAGTCATCTTCATTTTTCCTTTCTCGCCTCTTCCTCTCCCTGAAGGAGACCATTGTTGCAGGCAAAACAAGATAATGCCAACAGGAAACTTCTACTCAAATGAAGGACGCCATCCCCTTCCTATTTCCTCCTCATTTTTTCATATATGGACTTGTTGAAGCCTTCCGTTTGGATGGTGCTTTGTCGGCTAATTAGAACTTGGCATAGCCTCTGCTTGGTTGAATTTTGTTGACTGAACTAAACTTGGGCTTGTCAATTGGCAGCCATTGAGTCTCGATCAGGACCAAAGCTTGCCAAAAAGTGATCCATAGATCCCGATCTAAATAGTCTTTGAACGGTGAGCCACAATATTGCAGTGAGCCGGGTGAGGAGTAAGGAGAACGAAGATAAAAGAAGGGGAAAGAAAGGAAGAAGAAGGGGCTGTTAGTTCAGGCTCTGAATTTCGCGCCATTCTTCCAGGCAATTGTTGGGTTTTCTCCTTCATAAAAGTTAATCTTCCAATTGCACATTGAATTTTTATTGAAAGAATTAATGGGTTGCGTGGTTTTTCTCGATTTAATTTGTTTTCTTTTCAAAGCTTTAGTTTCAATGATTAATTTAATGGATTAAATTGGTATACAATTGGGTTTGGCAGCCATGGTTCCACGGATTTGCCAAAAAAAAATGGTGAGGGCATATTTTGTAAATTTGAAGAGTTTTCGAGGTTAATTTAAGAATTTCGTTGATTTATTAATACTTTTCCTTCTGTTTAAATGGCCACCTCAGCGCCCTTACAGAAATGAAATGTCCAAAATAATCTTGCCGTTAGAGTTTGACGGTTTGATGATGTAATCGGTCAGAAAGAGGGTAATTTGCCACCATAGGAAGAGTTTGAGGGTTCAGAAGGTTTAAAAGCATCTGTTTTTACTTTGGGCCTGATTTGCCACCAAACAAAGAGTATGAAGGCTAATTTGATATTCTAAAAAAGGGTAAATCAGCTCTTATACTCTTTGATTGGTGGCAAATTAGCCACTCAACTAAAAACAGTGGCTTTTAAACCCTTAAGACTCTTTGAATGGTGGCAAAAAAAGACCCTTATCTCACGGCTTACGTCTTAAGTCCGTTAACTCAGACCGGCATGCTAGTTTTGGTGGGTACCATTGCTGATCTGTCAATATTTTTACCTGTTGGGACCCCTGGTGCTGAGGTGGCCATTATTTACATTATTAATAAAGGAAAAAACTAAAGAAGTGAAATTTATAAAATTATCCTTAATAGGTCTTTAAATTTACAAAATTTACCCTCTCTTCCTGCACCATATATTGCTTCTTCAGATCTTCCTCTTCGGTCTCACCACTTATTCACAACCAAAACTCAAACCATGACCAAAGAGATCGAGAACAATTCCTCAATGCATATCATAACGTGGCTATTCACTTGCCGTCAATCCTATCATTCATATTTTATAGTCCAAAGTCTGGTGCCAACATCCAATTGCTCATGTTCATGTTTTTAATCTAAACCTGTAGCACCTCATGTTGTAAAACAAATTTTTTTTAAAAATTATATATTTTGTTATTTTTTATATTTATTAAATCTATTATTTTACGTATAAATTATAAAATAAAATTTTTAAATAAATGATAAAACCTTAATAAATAAAAAATTTATCTCTCGTTTAAAAATTTTTATTCTGCATTTTGATAGAAATTGCACAATAATTTTTCAATTTTATTAAGTTTACCGAGGTAATCAATAAAGGCATGAATTGTTTCAAATGCGTTGAACAGTTTGAAATGAAGATGTCAAACTCCCATCATGTTGATAAGAAAGCAAGGCGGAAAAGTCTTTATAGATGTTCGGTCCTTTGTCAGAACAAATTGGATTTGGTGGAATGGGCCCAAGGCTTGGGTGGAGCTGGGATCTTGATTCTTGGCGGTTGGGACACTTGCTGACAGATGAACTCTTATTTTTTACTTTAAGAACTTACTTTTTAAATTTCGAAATTCAAAGTCAAGCGTTTTTATTTTTTATTTTTTATTTTTTTATTTTTTTTAATTTTAATTTTAATTTTAATTTTAAATGGAAAAAGTCGAATGTGGTATCTGCAGATATTATTGAAACAAACACAATATGAAATGGTGTCTTTTGGAGGCAAATTAATTTTATAAATTTCGAAATTTAAGGACGACGACAAGTACTGTGTCTGTCGATATTGCAACAGACACACATGAAATGGTGTCTTTTGGGGACAACCTACGGAGGTGTTTGTTCAGCATCTATATAACAAATAAAAGTTAAACTTCTTCCATGCTTAACAATTATCTTAAGTTACACATTTATTTTTGGCAAAACCATAAGTTAAGCCTCTGAACTAACCCCAGAATCGTTATTAAGCCCCCAGACTTTAATTAAAGAATATAAGCTCCTGAACTCTACAATAGAAGCAATTTAGCCCTTACTCTCACTGCCAACTTAACTGCTGTTAATTGTCATTAACTGCGGTTTGGGGGACTGCCTTGTGTGGCGAAATTGGTCATCTCACTCCTACTTAGCAAGGGACTTGGTATTTGATTTGTCCACTTGGATGAAAAAAAAAATATATATATTTAGGAATAATTTTTTATATTATTTTTTATACAATTTTATATCATTTAAATAATTAATTATTTTTAATTATAGATTTTTCAAACTTATGTTTTAAAGATATAAATTAAAAATACAATAAATATATTTTTATAATAAATTTGGGTTAAAAATAAAAATTAACTTTTAATTTTTTAACTGTTTAATTAAATTTATTTATTTAACATCAAAACTAAAATTAATATTAATTTTTATTTTTTTATATATGTTTATGATAAAAAAAAATTTTAATATGTGCTCTAAGGATAAAGGTTAAAAAAATTCTTTATTTATTTGAGACATGTGATATTAATTACATTCACTAATTTAATAATATATAAAAGTTGTATAAAAAATTGTATAAAACAATTGTCTTTATATTAAAAAAGTAGAGAAAGAAAACAAACAAGTGGTTACTATATTACTTGTGGCTTCCCTTTTTTTTTTCTTTCTCTTTTTTTTTTTGGGTGAAATAGGGATAATTTTTTTCATATAATTTTTACATATTATTAAATAAATAAATGTATTTAATATCA